TAGACAAGGAAACTCTGTCTTAAAATGAAAAAGAGGTCTTGCTAAAGACGAGGAAGAAGGATCAACAAGCCCTCACGCTCATCCACCAATGTTTGGATGATGCCATGTTTGAAAAGGTGGCAGATAATACTACCTCAAAGAAAGCTTGGGGGATTTTACAAAATTCTCTTCAAGGAGTTGACAAGGTGAGGAAGGTAAAACTTCAAACTCTAAGGGCTGATTATTATTCAAAAGTGAAGGCTGTTGTAAATCAACTAAGAAGATACGGGAAGGACATAGAAGATGTCCGTATTGTAGAAAAGATCCTTCGCACTTTAACACCTAAATTTGATTTTGTGGTGTGTGCTATTAAGGAGTCTAAAGATTTATACTCTATGATGGTAGAGTAATTGGAGGGTTCTTTACAGGCCCACGAAGAAAAGATCAAAAGTAGACAAGAAGTGCCATTGGAGCAACTTCTTAAAACTCAGGCATCCTTCAAGGATTATGGAGGTGAAAAGAGTTATCGAGTGAATGGACGAGGACGAGGCCGTGGCAGTCATGGAAGAGGAAGAAGTAACGGTAACAACTTCAACAATGAAGTTAAAATCCACCAGATATTCAGAGGTCGTAATCATGGACATAAAGGAGGAAGATGACGTGGCTACTACCTAGAAAATAATGGACAAAGGTATGACAAATCAAAAATTGAGTGTTATAATTGTCATAATTTTGGCCATTACTCTTGGGAATGTCGTAGCAATGTTGAAGAAAAAGTTAACCTTGTTGACGACAAGAAAGAAGAATACGAGTCAACGTTGTTGATGGCACTCAAAGAAGAAGACAAGGATGATTGCAGCTCGTGGTATTTGAACAATGGAGCAAGCAATCATACGTGTAGATGCAAAGAAAAATTTGTGGAGATAAATAACACGGTGAGCGGTGATGTGTCCTTTGGAGATGCCTCAAAGATTCAAATCGAAGGGATATGTACGATTATGATCTCCTGTAAAGATGGTAGTTACAAGCTAATTCAAGATGTTTATTATGTGCCAAAATTAAAAAGTAATATTTTTAGTTTGGGCCAACTTCTTGAAAAGAAATATGACATCCACATGAAAAATATACATCTTTGGCTTAGAGATTCAGGTAGAATTCTAATTGCTAAAGTGCATATGGCAAAGAATAGATTATTTTCTCTGAATCTTAAAATAATTGATGCAAAGTGTTTGAAGTCCAATGTGCAAGATGAATCATGGTGTTGGCACATGCGATTTGGGCACTTGAATTTTGAAGCGCTCAAATCAATGGGAGAAAAGAATATGCATGGGACACTATCAATCAACCATCCCAATCAATTGTGTGAAGCTTGTCTTCTTGGAAAATATGCAAGGAGGAGTTTTCCAAAGGAGTCCATGTCAAGATCAACCAAACCGCTCTAGCTTGTTCATACTGATGTGTGTGGGCCAATCAATTCACCTTCCTTTAGTAAAAGTAAATACTTTCTACTCTTCATTAATGACTTTAGTAGAAAGACTTGGGTTTATTTCTTGAACCAAAAATCTGAAGCTTTTGCTGCTTTTAAAAATTTTAAAGTACTTGTAGAAAAAGAAAATGGCTATGAAATAAAAGCTTTAAGGTACGATAGAGGCGGCGAATTCACTTCAAAAGAATTTAATGAGTTTTGTTAGTCTCACGGAATTCATCGCCCTCTAACGGTACCTTATTCACCCCAACAAAATGGAGTTGCAGAGAGAAAGAATCTAACGATTCTTAATATGGCTAGACGTATGTTAAAAGCTAAAAGTATGCCCAAGAAATTTTGGGCAGAAACTGTATCTTGTGCAGTTTATTTGAACAACAGGTCTCCAACAAGGAATGTTAGAGATCAAACCCCTCAAGAAGCATGGAGTGGAAGAAAGCCAAGTGTCAAACACTTGAGAATCTTTGGGAGCATAACATATGCTCATGTGTCACATCAAGGGAGAGTGAAGCTTGACAATCGAAGTGTCAAGCATGTGTTTGTTGGCTATAATACGAGTTCAAAAGGCTATAAGTTATACAACCCAAGCAGTGGCAAGGTAGTGGTAAGTCGCGATGTTGAATTTGATGAAGATTGGCATGGAATTGGGAAGCTCAGGAAGAAACATCATATGATTTTCTTCCATACTTTGGCGACGAAGAAGAACCAGAAACCATTGAACTTGTGCAGGATACAACTCTGCCTCCTTCTCCAACCAATGTTGCATCTCCTTCTTCTCAACAAAATTCAAATGAGCAACCGCAAAGGACAATGAGCATTCAAGAGCTCTATGATGGCATGGAAGAAGTTACTAATTTTGATTTTTTATATTGTCACTTTACTGATAGTGAACCAATAAACTTTGATGAAGCTGTTACAGACAAAAGGTGGAGACAAGCCATGGAGGGGGAGATCGAGTCAATAGAGAAGAACAACATTTGGGAGTTAATAACTCTTCCCAAGGGATATCGCACAATTAGAGTAAAATAGGTATACAAGACAAAGAAGAATGCTGATGGAGATGTGGCTAAAGGCTACAAGCAAAGGCAAGGCATTGACTATGAAGAAGTCTATGCACCTGTTGCCAGCATGGAGATAATTTATTTGTTGATCTCTTTGTCAGCACAAATGAAATGGAAGATCCATCAACTTGACATCAAGTCAGCCTTCTTGAATGGCTATCTTGAAGAAGAAGTCTATGTTGAACAACTATTGGGCTTCGTGGACAAAAACCATAAAGATAAAGTGTTACGGTTGAAGAAAGCTTTATATGGATTGAAGCAAGCCCTACGAGCACGGAATAGTTGCATCGACAAGTATTTTCAAGACAATGCATTTACTCGTTGTCTCCATGAATATGCTTTTTACCTTAAAGTTCATACTAATGGAGATATCTTGTTTGTTTGTCTTTACGTTGATGATCTTATTTTCACAGGTAATAACCCAATTTTATTTGAATCTTTTAAGAAAGATATGTCCCGTGAGTTCGAGATGACAGACGTAGGGCTCGTGTTATACTACATGAGCCTAGAAGTGAAGTAGATGGAGGATGGAATTTTCATCTCTCAAGAAAGTTATACGAAGGAGATCTTGAAGAAGTTCAACATGCTCGATTGCAACCCCGTGAACACACCGATGGAGAGTGGGACAAAATTATCCAAGTTTGATGAAGGAAAAGATGTTAATCCCACATTTTTCAAAAGTCTTGTAGAAAGTTTGAGGTACTTGACTTGTACCAGACTAGATATACTCTTTGCAGTTGGAGTAGTAAGCCGCTTCACGGAAGCTCCTACCTCCACCCATTTAAAAGTCACTAGAAGAATTCTTCGTTACCTAAAAGGTACGATTGGCTTTGGGCTATTTTATTCTTCTTCAAGTGATTTCAACCTTATGGGATTTTGTGATAGTGATTATGCGGGAGATATTAATGATAGAAAAGGCACAACTGATTTTATATTTTTCTTGGGTGATTCTGTTATTTCTTGGATTTCAAAAAAATAATCCATTGTTACTCTCTCGATTTGTGAAGCTGAATATATAGTAGCAACATCTTGTACATGTCATGCTATTTGGCATTGAAGCTACAAAGATTTGTATTGACAACAAATCCGTAAGGCACTCGCGAAGAATCTGGTGTATCATGATCGAAGCAAGTATATAGACACAAGGTATCACTTCATTAGAGAATGCATTGCCAAGAAGGAATTCGAGCTCAAATATGTGAAGTCTCATGATCAAGTTGCGGATATCTTTACAAAGCCTCTCAAGTTCGAAGATTTTCAGAGGTTGAGATCAAGACTTGGAATGACCAAGAAAATTCAAAATTAAGGGGGAGATTTGTGGGACCCATAAATGAAATAAAGAAAACGATGGAAAAAGTGGTAGAAAGCAGGTGGGCGACTGAAGCCAAGTTGGTCGGCTTGCAAATTGTTGAATGAGCCAATATGATTGGTTGGTTTGATGGCAAATTTGCCTATAAATAGAGATGCTTCGCTCTATGTTTAATACACCAAAAACAAAGAAAAGCTAAGCAGGAAGTAAAGCAGTGAGAGTAATCCACAGATTGTTGTTTGTGAGATAAATAGTGAGTGACAATATTATTGTAGTGATGTATTTTAAAATAAAGAGTGTTATTTCTTTCGAAGTTGTAGTAGTCTCTTGACACTACTAAGTTGTAATATTACTCCGCTCGGGTATTGTATTTTACCCCGTTAAAAGATTTGGTATTATTGTTACTCTCTTGTGTTATTATTATTTATCGTGAATATTATTCCTGTGCGGGATATATTTATTTTCCCAACAGAATCCAAAAATGTGGGCTCCTGGCTCTTGACTCCTTTCTTCATCTGCAAGGCAGAAATATTCCCCTTGGGCATCTTTCACGATATTATTTGGATAATGCAAGGCTTGGCCCCATTTGCTCAAACACATGTACACACATATTCAGGTGTTATTAAAGTCATCGCTTAATGCTATAAAGTGATGTGAAGCAAGGGGTTACTGCTTATTGCCTAAAGTCATACACCATAAGGAAATCATACACTTTTTAATGAATTATGCGTTTCAAATAATGATGTGTGAAGTGATATGAACGAGAAACCATGTGTGAAGTGATATGAACGAGAAACCATCAATTCTTCGAATCTCAACTTTGAGGAGTCAACATTATTTTATATTAAGATACTTGAACTAGTTATCTTAATTGCTATTCAATTATTATAATACTGAATTCATATATGTTTGGTATTTTTGAATTTCTGGTAAATTGTCCATTCACTTCAAAGAAGCATGTTGCCCTTCACTTCTCACATTTGCCTTCAATCCACATGGATTTCGCCACTCGTTTACACTAACACTAGTACACTGTATATACGAAGTTCAAATCTACGGTCACAAAAATAGTAGTAGATGTTGTGACTACACTGTTTATTAACTTTAAATTTTAGATATGCCTATGTGTATAGAAGAAAGCCATATTAACAAGCTATAATTTGGACAGGTTGTAGAAGGTTTGTTGCAGCCTCTGATCACTCCAACAAATCTGGAAACTCATCCAGTTACAAAATTCTACGAGGTTTGTCAGAAAAATGGATGGAGAGTTGAACTTGTTGATAAATGGGAAGAAACAGGAGAAATTGAAGTTTTTGTTGATGGAAAATTTGTGGGAAAGGGAAAATTTAGTGGCAAAAAATTAATTGCTTTAAATAGGGCTGCACATAATGCATATTGCCAAATTGTCAAAAACTTGAGCGTGGAAGCTACTAGTGATAATAGTGGCTTGTAATGAAATACAAAACTAATGTATGCTAATCGCCCGTGTATATATATATATATATATATATATATATATATATATATANGTGCACTGTCACTATGTCATGTATCCATAATGCTTATTTATTTACTTATTATTTGTGTACTTAATTATTCTTTTCTCTATTACAACTAAAATTTAACTATCATCGCATACTAATAATTAAATTTCTCATGTTAAAATGACCCCCATAATGAAACTCTGGCAGATGTATTTTCTTTTGGGAAAGTTGTATAAATTTGAATATACAAATCTGAAGAGAAAATATTTGGTTTGGAGATTCTATGAAACTAATTAATGCCGATAGATACCGTGAGCTGGCTGGTATTTTTAGTCGCATATAGTTACACACTAATTTCAAATGAGATTAAAATTGCAGTACCTATTGCAATTTCATATATGATTGTTCAAGTTTACCAACGTTGCATCAATATATTATAAGTAATGATATAAATGATTCTGTATTCAATTTAATAACTAATGGGCCACTTTCTACGTGAAGTGAGGGCATAAAGGCTATAACATTGAGTTGGAGGCCTTATTTTCTGGGATATCAGGATCAATTAAACAACTTTACATATCAAATGAACTGCTATAGAAACAAACAACTTGATCGCGAACTGTAGTCTTTATTATGAGTTCGTTCGATGTGGACTAAATCACTGAGTGCTGATCAGACCTATGAGTTTCAGTTCGTCAGTTGACATTGTAAATTTTTTATTTGATTGTTGTCTTTGTCACTAAGTAAATAAATAAAAGATACCATGCACCAAAAAATAAAAAATAAGTTCCCCCTATTTCATTTTATGTGATTTGATTGAGCACGAGTTTAACAAAATAAAGAACTTTTGGGAAATATGATTTTAAACATGTCATATCATTTTTATGGCTATAAAATCATGTTGTGAAGGGTAAAATAAAAAGTTCAAAGTTAAATTATTTTTAAATATAGAAAGATATCTCTCTTTATATAACAAACTAAAAATTAGGGATAATTTCGGAGACATCCACTTATATTTCACTCCATCACATTGACTTCCCTGGGTTTACGATGTTACGTTTACCTCCCTTATTTTAATTTTTTCGTAATAATTCTTTTTAACTATTTTTTAATAATATAAATAAAATACAGTTTGATAAATTGGTCTTTTTCTAGTATTAAATTCTTTCAATTAATTATTTCTATCAAAATATCATATTTAATAGGGTGAGAATTATTTACACCCGTAACTTTGCTTTAAGAATCAAACTACCTCCAGACTCAGGCATCAGGCATCAGAGCGTAGGAGGAGAAATCAAATAGAGGCACTAAAAGATGAAGGTGGACATCGGATAACTCCGAAAGATGATATTCGTGCTTCGATTTTCAATTATTATTCTAATCTATTTGAGCCAAGCTCCAGGTTATGCGTCGGTGATTAGCAGAGTGAATAGAAGGGTTTAGGTGATGATAACAGTTGTTATTAGCACCATTTTCTAATGAGGAGCTTCGCAAAACTGTATTTCATATGCTTTCTGTGATATGGACTGGAATGATAGCATGTGATTGGTCTGTGCAGGTCGAGCTGTTATAGCACGTGAGTTGTCCCTGCAGTTTTTATGATTATAGCATGTGAGTTATCCGTGCGACGTCTATATAAGGATCCAGTCCCTAGGGTTGTCCTCTCATGTTTCTCTCTTGACGGCGTAAACGCTGATTATAAAAACTGATCAGTGTTTGATTTTTGCATATCTTCACTAATATGAAAACACGGCGGATGTATACAAGATTAGTGTATACTGTATTCTGCACTTAATCGTGTAGATCCAAGAGTCGGACCCAACTAAGTGTTGAGCGATGTTGTTGTTGCTGTTGAGACTCGATGTTGAGTTGCTTCATAATCGTAGTCCTTGGTGCATCTTTCTATCTTTCATTACTGTTATTAATTTAGGCAGTATATTGATTAGCAGACTTCTATTCTATATTATAGCTCATGACTCAATATTATTAGTTCCGGGGATTTGTTATATTATTTTGGTATTTATCTATGATTGATCAGACTTTCAGACACTTTTACTCTGTATTTATTATTATCCGAAATATTTTATGATTGACTTGCCTAGCAAGTGGGGTTAGGAGCCATCACAGCCTGTGGTGATTTTGGGTCGTGATAAAAAAAAAATATTTTATTATATAAAAAGGTATTACATAGACGGAGGATTGAAAATGTAAAGGGTAAATAGATATTGCATAGGATAAGAGGAGAAAAATGTCTATGGTTCAAAGCAGAGAGTTTGATTATTAAAAAAAAAGTTGGAGGGTGTAAATGATTTTCACCCTCCAACTTTATAAATAAAATTAGAAAGGCAATTCCTATAAAACCTTCATCTCCTACAAGTCTTCCCAAAATTCAGCTAACTTCCGTCCATAAGTTATATATCATCAAGAATTAGGGTTGTTCCCAAATTCTTATAATTGTAAGTTATATTTCATCAAGAAATAGGGTTGTTCCCAAATTCTTATATTGGGCAATCGTAAGTTATATTTCATCAAGAATTAGGGTTCCCAAATTCTTACATTGGGCATTCGCAATCGCAAGATGAAGGTGGTTGTTACAGTAGTGGCTTGCAAGCGTTAAGCAGATGAGTATCTATCAGAAATGGGGATTTGGGATATCTCCTAGCTCTTATTTAGATAACTGTCTTATTTATTTTTACTTTTAAAGAATTTTGTCAAATATGATATTTTAATAGAGATAATTAATTGAAGAATTTAATATTGGAAAGGACAGACATTTTATTTACATTAATGAAAAAATAGTTTAAAGAGAATTGTTATGAGAAAATAAAAAATAATGGAGTGAAGTGTAATATCGTAAACACGAGGGAGGTAAGTATGATAGAGTGAAACATAAGGGGAGGTGTTTGAAATTCTCCCTCTAAATTATTAAGTTTTTAAAGAATTAAGGAATCAAGGTCCAAATTATTACAAAAAGAAAAAAAAAATTGTCCTCACATTTCAAACCTTATCATTGGTCTCTACCTCCTCTACCCCAAAAAACAAAAAATTACATTAGGCCAACGTGTGTAAATATAACATAAAATATACTCTCTCTGTTTCAATTTAGATGAGGTAGTTTGACTTGGCACAGAGTTTAAGAAGAAAAAAAAAAGACTTTTAAAATTTGTGGTCTTAAAAGTTTAAGGGGTAAAAGCTTTGTGAGACCATGACATTTGTATGGTTATAAAAACTTCTCATTAAAGGTAAAATGAATAAAATAAAGAGTTTAAAGTTAAAATATTTTTAAATTTAAAAATATGAAAAGAAAAGTACCTATCTAAGAAACTAGGGAGCATATAACTAGAATAAATAAAGAACTCATTAAAGAAAAGAATTTTTGAGTGTACGAATTTATTCATCATTTTCCTAACATAAAGGTATGGAGCAACCATGACCATATATAAATCTACCAAGTGCAACCACCTTCTGCATTTTTACCACTTATAAACAACATTCAATAAATTCAAAAATTTCTTCAAACATGATGAATCTCTTGCATTTCTTCTTCTTCTTCTTCTTCTTCTTCTTCTTCTTCTTCTTCTTCTTCTTCTTCTTCTTGTTCCTCTTTACCTCTCCGGGAGTTCAGGCCATCCAGCAGCGACCACGATATTCTGGTCCATCGCCGAGAAAAGAGCAAGTTATCTTTCAACCTCTTCCAAGTTCTTGGGTTGGTCCAGATTTCAAATTCGAGAATAGGAGAGTTCCCACTGGATCTAATCCTCTGCATAACAAGAAGAGAAAAGCCTAGAATTATTGTTAAAACGTTTGCACTTAGCGTTTGTTATTTGGTAGGTAGTCAGCTCTGACTCTGAGTTAACTAAGTTTCATTCATGATCACTATTGGTGATTCAAAATTTATTTCAATTAACTAGAATAAATTTTCAATCACCATTAGGAACTTTGCAACAATACATACAAAGTTTATTAGTGCAATTGTGTTTTTATTATAGTATCTCTTTCGATTTGTAGTGTTATTGTGTTAATGTTCAGCTTTTTTTTGTAATATTTGCCTATGCTTAACTAGTTGGTTTGTAGACTTTGTTAGTTTGTTAGGGGTAGGAATCTGTGATGTTTTTCAGCAGTAGTTTGAAAAATAGTCTGAGTTCATGATAGTTTGACTTTTAAGTTATGACAGTGCTTTATTCGTTTGAATTTATGTGAACAAAAAATGAAGACTTTTGAAATTTAGGGTCCTAAACAAGTCAAAGAAGGGGTCTAGAGTATTTATATGGTTATAAAAGCTTCTCATTAAGGGTAGAATTATAAGTTAAGCAAAATTGTTTCCAAATTTAGAAATGAGTCATTCTTTTTTGAACGAACCAAAAAGAAAATAGGTTCACATAAACCGGAACTGAGGGAGTATTTGTTTTTGCATGAACAAATATTGCTACTCAATTATTTTGTGAAAATCCAGGTTTTCCGGTCCAAGTTTGCCTCATAACATAGATTGGCAAAAACACAAACAAACAAAAAAAAAAGAAGAAAGGAAAATAAGGATAAATACTTCTGGGACAAAAAACAAGAAGTGTCTGTAGACATGTCTGTTTATGTTGTCACTGACACAATTCTTTTAGCCAAAAGAAATGTAAGAAGAATCATCTCCGATACAAAAAGATCCATCGCAGAGATAACTCGTTTGGACAAATTACCATAAAAACTGTTTTTGGATTACTTTCTTTTTATATCACTCTATTCTGATCTATCAGTTTGAAACATTTTCGAGAGTGATGGAGCAATTCTCTTTTTAAGAAAATAAACTTAAAACGAGAAAAATGATAGTTAATAATTCAAAATTTTATTATCCTTCTCTCCGTCATGAGTTTGGAGATAGAATGATTTAGAGAAGTATACAGCAGCCAGAGTTATAATGATGGACCCAAAATTTAATTGAGTGTAAATAAATACCCATAATAGCATACAACCACCAAGCACTTAATAAGAATAGGCTGTTCATACAAAAGAATGAGCATTATTTGCCGGCTCATCCCCCT